AATTTGCAAGTCATGGGAATATTCACACCCAAGATAGTATTAATCACAAGCATTTGCCCACTGCCGTCTTGGTATTCAGCCATTTTGGCATCCCAGTTCCATTGCTCACACAATAATTTTTCCCTTTACAGTAATGTCATGCTCCACATACATTAAAAGACTGACAATGTGACATGCAACTTGAACCTGACTTGTTTGTTCGTTGCCATCTAACGCTGAACATGGCGCCCTTCCTTTCTCCACCATGCCCTATAGTAAGATGCCAGGGTTCAAGTGTGAAGTCAGGTAACTAGCCACTGGGAAGTGGTGTACTTCAGGTTGTCTGATACCAGTGTTTTGGAACGAAACTTTGTGTTTTCAAGATACTACACAGTTGTTAAACCCAATTACATTTCTGGGAATTTTGTCTTCCTTTTCTAAAATGAGGGAAATGGAGACAGGAATTAAAAATGCCTGGGACCATCATTCACTGGCCAGTGTATATGTGTGTGTGTGTGTGTGTGTGTATGGCAGCTTCTGACTTCCTATCCATGGTGTTTGTCCCCTGGCTGTGCTGCTGCAGATGGGCACTCCCTTCCGAGGGATCTTTACCTGTCAAGGGGGATCCATCAGTTATCGTCTCTCCTTACTTTCAGGACACTTTCCAGTATTTGCAATGTGTTAGAAAGAAGCTGTGTTTGCTTTGCCACCCTGGTTCTTCCTCCAGTGCTAACCTGTCCCTTTGCAGAAGGGGGAAAAGAACAACCAAGATGAGAACACAGCTTATGAATTGGCAGAGAAACAGACTCAGTTTAATTCTCACATCTTCTGACTTCTCAGTCCCTGCCTTTGCATACCAAATGCCTTTGATTTCACACAGGATTTTGGATGTAGTTCCTACATTTCAAAATATGACTTAAGGAATAGTCACTGTGTACTTTCAACAGTTCCCGACTGAAGAAAACAAGAGGTTTGAACTTCTGAACATCTGCACTTAGATTAAAGAAGGAACTTCACTGACTCCATACTCTAAACTTATTTTCTGTGGACTAGCATCTAGTGGCAGATAACACTGGCTGCATCTCTAGTAACACAAGAAAGGGGCCTCATCACTGGTGCACAGCACTGTCTGTCCATTAGGATGGTTGTTCCTTTGTACAGTCTGTGGTCTGTGCCAGCAAGTGCTCTCCCAGGTGATGCCTGAGCATGGTTTAGGAGCTAGCGTAGGAACATACTGATTGCCAGTGACCAGGTTAGATGTGTCCATCCCCCTTTGGAGGGCAGGAAGATTTTGCCATCCAGGTGCAAGCTGTGTAATGCCAGTCACCCCCAGGACCAGAGAATGGGTGCTGTCCCATTTTGTTTAAAAGTACAGATGCTGTCAAATTGCCCCTTTTTGCAGCATTTGTGGTCCTGATGGGTGGCAGAGTTTTTAATTAATTTCTTCTTTGAGACTGAATGATCGAGCCATGCACTTTGAAGTCTTTTTACTCAGTGCCTCCAACTGGTATCTGGTCTACCAAGCAGTGCCTAGGCAGAGCTTCAGTGGAGAGAGGAGGCTCTATCAGTGCTATTCCCCTCCATCCCCAAAACATCACTGGCTAGTTCAGTGTGGGCTCCTCTGTCATGTACCATAGTCATGTTCTGCCTGCTGCACCTCCCTTCCTGCTTGGACCAGATCTGAATCCTCCAGAGATTACTGGAATGTTGCAATCAGAGAAGATCAGGAGTAGCAGATAATAAAACCAAGCAGAGGTATTTTATTTTTTTCACCAAGAGAGAAGTAATACAAAAGAAGGGGAAGAGATGATAGTAACTATTGACAACTGAGTACCAGCAGCTAATCTCAGCGAGGACTGGATCAGGCCTTAAATGTCTGCTGAAGTAATGATAGTGCTAGCTCTTTTTGTTAAGTGACATGGATACTGGGAGCTTTCAGCTTTCCCTTCTCCTGTCAGTGGCCCCAGGGAGGACTAGCTGGACCTCGGCAGGCTTTTAACCTTCCCAAGCACACTGGAGCCCTGGATTCCGGCTGCCCATCCTGCTCTGCCACTGAGCACCAGATGAAGTAGGAAAAACTTTCATCCCTCCATGAACTTGGAGGCACCTCCCAGACTTCCCTGTCTCACTGGAAATTGCCTCCCTGCTGCTGGGACATGTGCTGGGTGTACCTGTAGGTGCAGCCCCAGCATGTGCAAACCTTTGGGGCACATGATTCATTTGTCATTTACAGTCCTGGCCAAGCCTTGAACACCATCCCAGACAACTCAGTCCTGTTCCTGTTTCCTCTGCTTCTGTTGCCATCTAGGAAAATTTATTTTCTCAGATCCTCAATCTAACATGTAAATGCTCTCCTGAGCCAAGAACAAACATTTACCAACTTTCTAAGACCAAGGGTGTATAAAGTAGTTAAAACTTGAGTGCACCTCATTTGGGATGGACTTGATTCCAGTTTTGTTACCTATGAAGAGTTGCTCTGCACTGCAGCCTGAGAAGGAGAGAGCTTAACTGCATTCTTCAATAGAAGAGGACCTGGAGCCCTTGATCTCCTGGCTGCCTGTGCAGGACAGTCCACCTTTGGCAAGGAGAGTTACTTGGAGCTGGGGAGGAGGAGGAGCGGGATCCATTTTGGATCCCATGTGAGGGATGACTGTTGAGTGTGTGTTGCTCACAGGAGACTGCACCGGGGCGTACATGAGAATATGGAGGGCTTTGGGCAGTAAGCCAAACCAAGCTGGGTTGTATGAAATGCAAACAGAAAATACAATTTGCAGTGCCTCATAACTCAATCAAACCTGTAAAGGGCTTCACAGGGCCAGGAAAAGGTTACCCCTTCAACAGCAGTCCTGCCAAATATCTCATTTCCTTTCCAAAACCACAGAGCCCTAAGAACTCTTCAGAGACATTTACAGGGATCTTCGGTGACAGGAGGGGTTAGGTGTAACTTTGTCAATTGTCGAGGCTCACATTGCAAGCTTTTATTTCACAGATGTTAAAATTAGAAGACAATGTTGTGGTCCTCTCATCTGCCCTCTCACATAACAGTTGCTGTACTGAGCCTAATAATGTGTGTGTCAATTCTGTTAATATATTTTAGAAAAGTCTTCACTCTCTTAAGTGATAGAAACTTCTGCCCCAGTGGTTAATTATGTCTACTGAAACATAACTGTTTCTGGCTTTGTTTGGTACTGCATATTTAGCAGTTGACATAAGTACCGAGTTGGTATCTCTTTTAAAAAGGGAAGTTTCAGTATGTGGTTGGCATATTATTTCTCTGACTTACTTCTCTGGAAAGAAGGCCATAATTGTCATTACAGGGTTAACGAAAAGCTGAATCGAGACCTGTGTACTGTGTTATGATGTTCGGTTCTTTGGTGTGGGAGGTGTGGGTGGTATCCCTGTTGAATGTAAAGAGCAGTGACATATTGGTAATGTGCTGTTGCTGCTTCTGTGTGTTCAGAGCTGAGTTAATACTTGAAGGTTGCCAACATGGTGTGTGTTGAAGTTGAGTTATATTAGGATCGCTTTACTTATAGTGTTTGTTTCATGTAAGAAATGTTAATTCTAGATGCTTATCTAGAATAGCATCAATGTAACTGGCTGAATTAGCAACTGAAGGCCGAAGTATGACAGAAATATAAGGCCGTAAAACACATCAGCTGGTAGGGATTAGGAGAGTGCTCTGCCTCCATTAGGTCAGTTATAAGCTGTTGTGAGCTATTTTTCTATTAAAGAAGAGGGCTCAGTTAATTAATTGTTTTTTTGTGGGAATTAATACTGGATGAGTCCCCTGTGGCTTTCATGATGAGGGTCAAATAAAATATTAATGAAATTAAAACAAACAATCCCCTGCTCTTCCCAAGTACCTTCCGGATGGGTTTCTCTCAGCATTGGTTAGGGATGATGTGGAGCCCCAGAGGAGACAGGCCAGTGTCACTACTCCTTTTTCACAGAGGCAGGGAGATGGAGGTGGTGGAAAGTAGTGACTCCAGGGCCACACAATCCAGCAGCAGAGCTGCACGGGAGGTCCAAGGGTTTTCCCATCTGGTGCCTTTGCTCTGATCCCTGCTTTCAGTTCCCTTCTCAGAGAAATGAAAGTGCATCCACACTGAGGCTGCACTGGCTGGCTGGAGGCTATCTTCTCAGGTCTTTAGGAGTCCTAAATCTCAAATCTTTTTCACAAAACTCTGTGCTTCCAGATCAGAGGATACAACCCAAGAGATGCGTCTCTTTTCTCCTGATGCCTCATCCACAGGACACGTTTCCTTGTCTTGCGGATTGCCCATTCCAGAGGCTGAGTATAGGAGCCTGAATGATGGGCTGGGGACGGACAGTCTCTTTTTGATGACTCCGTGCAGTGCAGTGCAACAGATCTTAAGATGGATGGAGTCAAGCAAACTAGCTTCAGGAGCAGCATCTCTTGAGTCACTTCAGACCAGTTTCCAGGCTAACACAATCATGGTGCTTTCATACTCTAAACTACAAACTGTGTGGCATGACAGGGTGTTAAATACCTGCAGTACTTTCGGACATGGCACAAAGCTATACATTTATTCAGAGGGATCACAGAAATCTGCCCGCTGCTGCCGAGTGTAAGGTTATACTCTGCATCTCTGGGCATGACTCTTATCTGGTACCCTGAGAAGCAGTCCAGCGTATGGAGAAGAAGGAGACCCAGGCAGGCACTCCAAGCTAAACGGTCAATTCTGTTTGCGTCATGCAAAATCAAAGCTAAATGCATATTCTCACACCTATTTGTATACCTTGGGCATTGAACAGCCTGAGCAAGACTTGATTTTCTGCATAGCGTGTATGCATGTGTGTATGCTCTGGAGAGGGCAGGGCTCTACAATATCACTTCAGCAAAGGCCACTGGGGGCTCATTATGCAGAGCTAGCTAATGACAGCACGTGGTCAGTTAGGGATAGTATGGCTTACTGCACTGACAAGTGCAAAGAGGAACTTAAGAAGTCGGGAAAACTGTCATTACAACCATTTTAAAGCACTTTCCCATTATCTTTCTCCCTCTCTCTCTGAAGATCAGATAAACAAGGAAATGGAAATACTAAAATGATTCAGAGGAAATATTAAAATCAACATACTGATAACCATTACTTCCTGCTTCCTCAAAAAAAATTATTGTTGGGTGCTGACTGCCTCGCATCGTGTAAGTATCACTCCTAGAAATCGGAAATCAGAGGTGACAGTGGCCAAATCTTTTTACCTTCTGATTGGAAAGTTTATTACATTCTTGGTAAAGATCCTTACATCTGTAAATAATAATTAAGGAAATAGTAATAATTTTGTCATATTTCTATAGCAGACTGACAAAGGATGTCCACTCAGTCCTTCTCCCCTCTTATCTCCTTGTCTTTCTTTCAGGATTCACCGTGATCTTGTTGTGTTGCTGGTGTAAGCTTCCCTTCCAGAAGAACTGCTCCTGCCTGTCTCCATCTCCCCGGGAATAGACAAAGGGCGGTGCAGAGTGATAAAAATTTATGTTTTCGTCAAACCGGGCCAAAGAGAATGGGGGTCCTACACTCAAAAGAATGAAGACACGACAGAACAAGGACTCAGTACGTGAGGTGGGAGACGGGGGTGGGACACCAGAGCCACGCTGAAGCTGTGGGTTGGAACTGAGGCTCACAACAAAGCTTGTGGACATGAGTTTGGCACAGTGGGAGTGCTAGGGGTTCAGGGGCTTTAGGAGGCTGGGGACAGGGCAGGAGTGGAGGGAGATGCAAAGCAGGACTGATCCAGTGATCCCTCTCTTAGATGTCAATGCGGAGTGGACGGAAGAAAGAGACTCCAGGGCCCCGAGAGGAGCTCAGGTCACGGGGTCGAGCTTCCCCCGGGGGCGTCAGCACCTCCAGCAGTGATGGCAAAGCAGAGAAATCCCGACAAGCAGCAAAGGTAGTACAAGTTAGTACTCAAGTGTGGGGTGCCTGAAGACTGCTCAGACTGAGTGGAATCCATTTGGGGATCCAGGGACACAGACCAGAAGGGACCCACCGAGGAACCCATGCTGGATTAGCTCTCTGAAATGGGTGGGATCCCTCTTTCCTCTCATCCCTAGCATCTTGCACTTCCTACCATCTCCCAAGAACTGGCTTTCAGTCTCACCAGCCCGTTTTAGTGCTAATTTTTTTGATATCCTGTCTCAGTGTTGCTCTGTGAAGATCTTAAACACATGTGCTGTGGTGGCTGTGTCTCGCCTGCTGCAGTCTCTGAAGGCCTGGCAGAGTGTGAAATTTCCCCAGGACCCTGCCACCTCCCTCTTCTTCTCTCCTTGCAGAAAGGCCGGGTGGAGGAATCCTGCACCCCAAAGGGCAGCAAGCAGGGCCGAACAGAAGAGATCTCGGAAAGCGAAGGGGAAGATACCAACGCTCCCAAAAAAACCAAAACCGAGGTGAGTTCTCCCTGCTGTGATTGCTGGCATTTACTGGGTCCAGGGCAAAGGAGTGTTCTGTTCCCTACGTGTGCTGCTCACGCCTGCCCAGCTTGAGGTTCCTGCTGCTTGGCAGCTCTGGCGCCTTGGGTTTCACCCTGCAGCTCTTCTAACCTAAATGGCATCTGCCAGATTACAAAAATGCCACCAGGAGTGATGACTGAGCAGATGGAGGCTCTCCATCTCTTTGCCTTGTCTGCAGGGGACTGCCGCATTCTCAGAGCTGGGCACGTGCCCTTCCTTTCCCGGCTCAGTGGCAAGAGCCTGGCTCCACACGCAGCTGCCAGTTGGGTTAGACTCTGCCTTTTTTGCTCGCCCACAGCAGTGTGAAATGGAGGTGCTTAAGTCATGGTGGGTTCCAGATAACAGTGGTGCAAAACCCGCTTGTGCGCATGCCACATAGTTGTGGCAGGGCTGTTTGGAAATCCCACCAGACTGGATAGGGAGTTGGATGATTGGAGGAAGACTCAGCTCTTGCACTTCTCAATTCCCTGTTAGCCTGTTCAGGGAACTGGCCTTAAAGGTCTGCAAACATGGGGATGTTTGCTTTGTGTTATGAGGTCGTTGTAATTAAACTACTGTGGTTACTTACACCTACGTAATTTCTCCATATGAACAGTCCATAATTTCTCCGTGTGGACACTCTTGTCTGTTCAGCTCAACAGTGATCTTTTTTCAGTTTAGCCTCTTTTGTAAACCCTGAGGCTCAAGAGTGGCACTTGTTAATTTTCCGATACTTCATTACCTGAGGCAAGAGGTGGTGGGGAGGGGCAGGGATTGGGAGGAGCAGGGATTGGGAAGCACAGGGGGGACTCCAGGAGGTAAGGAGTGGGGCAGTGAGAGGGGGCTGGAGGGGAGCGGGCCCAGGAGAGCTCTGCAGGGACAAGAAGAGCAATTCTGGGCCTGGGGGCTGTGTTGGGTACACTGTGGTATTGTACCCTGGCCAACGGCCCATTGCTGGTGGTGGTGATGCTGGCTATGACCTATCTATTCACTCTCAGCTTCATCTGTAACAGTTCCATGCCCTCCCTCAAGATGCCCATCGTTACCTCCTCCCTGAGCGTGTGATGCTCATGAAGGACCTGAGAGCGCTGAGGCTCCTCCAAGGGGAGGCAGGAGAACTGGTGTTATTTATACCTTGCCAGATGATGTCTCCTTCCCTCTTTGGAGTTTTCTAGTGCTGGCAGAGAAAGGTCAGAAAGCAAGTTCTCTGGGAAATTGAAAAGTATTGTGCATGGTTTGAGAGGCCACATAACGTCTCTCTCCTTCCTACTTCAGGAGTTGCCCTGCCCTCCGTCCCCATCCGATGTTGACAGCCTTGATGGCCACAGCTTCAATGATGAGATGAGCAGTGACCCACGGGACATTGACCAGGATAACAGGAGCACCTCACCCAGCGTCTACAGCCCTGGCAGCGTGGAGAATGACTCCGATTCCTCCTCTGTGCTGTCCCAGGGGCCATCTCACTCCTACCACCACCCTCCGCTCTTTCCCCAGAGCCCGCCAGTAGCTCCCCCTCCTGACAGCCTGGCCCGTCCACCGGAGCCCAGCTTTGGGCTCCCGAGCGAGGTGCACCCCCAGGGACCCCCCGCAGGGAGCTACCACTCCCAGCTGGAGGGCCAGGCCTCCCGCATTTTCCAGGCTCCAGCCCCACAGACACCTGCCTCTTCCTCCTCTGCTGTTGTTGCCCCATCTGCTCCCCCTTCCTCCTCCTCCTCCTCTTCCTCCTCTTCCTCCTCCTCCTCTTCCCATGCTCCTCTTTACCCTACAGCCAATGTGGTCCAGGTTGGGACCAAAATGGCTGGTGGAGTGGGGGCTCTCCCAGCACCAGGGAGTCGTGAGCAGACCCTCAGCGCCAAGCACAATCCACCACCCACCACCCCCATCTCACTGGCATCAGTGGTTGGGGGGCTCCCCCCTCAAAAGACACCCCCAGCCAACCCTCCAGCTGCCCCCCCGGCTTCGGCCCCATCCTTCCCCCACGTCTCTGCCAATCTGCCTCCCCCACCGGCCCTGCGCCCGCTCAACAACGCGGTGGCCGCCTCTAGCTCCCCAGGGATGGTGGGGCAGGCCCTGAGCGGCCACCTTCCATCACCCCATGGGATGGGGCAGGACAAGGCACCGGCCCTGGCCCCCTCCCGCTACCCTTACGCCCCGCCACCACTGCCGCCCTCCAGCTCCTCGGCCCAGTATGCCCAGCCCTCCACGGCCCAGCCCCTGCCCAGTTACAGTGCCTCCTATGGCCACAACTTCCCCCCGCCCAGCGGGCTCTCCGTGTCCAGCCAGCCCCCCAAATACACACAACCCTCCCTGCCCTCCCAGCCCGTCTGGAGCCAGGGGCCACCCCCCTACAGCCGCCCCTTGGGCAACACCAGCTCCCACCCTGCGGCCCCCTTCCCTGGCCAGCCTCCTCATCACCAGCAGCCACCCCAGCAGCACCACCATGGTCACGGAAGTGGTGGTGGGGTTTCCCCGGCAGCCGCAGCTCCCCCCCAGCCCTCTGGGGGTTACCCACATGGCCTGGAGTCAAGCAGCCATCACCCTTCCCACGCCGCTTATGGGCTGCGCCTCTACCCTCCTCACAGCCAGGCTGCTTACAGCCAGGCTCCCTTGGCCTCTGCTGTAGCTCCCTCTTCTTCCTCGTCCTCCTCTTCTTCCTCCTCCTCCTCTTCTTCCTCTTCCTCCTCATCCTCCTCCTCCTCCTCTTCCTCCTCCTCCTCTGCTGCCTCTTCCCAGGGAAGCTACCCTGGCATGTGTGCTCACCCCCCAGGGCAGAGTCCTGCCACCTACACCTTCCCCCCGCCGCCACCCCCCTCCCCTGCCCATGGTGCTGGCCCTCCGGTCACTTCCGCTGCCATCACCCTCTCCACTGTCATCGCCACCATGGCCTCCCCCTCCACGGCTCCGTACAAGACGGTCTCTCCCCCAGTACCCCCCTCAGCCGTGGCTCCCTACGGGAAGCGG